AGCCATTGATATTCTATATGAATTCCAAACCGGGATTATATTTTTGCAGAAACCCTCTCAGTGCTGGTTAAATTAAGGTTTATTGTGTGTATGGTTGTGTTCTCTGACTGTATCCACTTAGAATTTAGAATTTTCATACTTTTTCTTATCGTAAACGCATGCGATTGTAGAATTTAAAAAGAAATATACTTGGATCTTTGAGCTTCCTACACTTTGCTGAAAATTCAAATGCTATAACAGGGAAGTTTGTCGCCAAGACGCCTTGATACATATCCAAATTTGATTAGGTTTCTCCTTAGCGGAAAGTGAATTTTATTTTATTGGAGATTTTGTTGTAGTTGATTTTTCTGTACCTTATAACTTTTCATACAATTGGAGTTTGATTGTGAGAGTTATTCTGCCAGCCCATAATTGACAGTTAGTTTTGTAATGCAGGTACAAGAAGAAGCGCAAAATGGACAAGTAGAATTGGAAAAACATGTCATCACAAAGACATTGACTAAGCCATCTGAGGCATATTATGATGCCAAAAACCTGCCACATGTTCTTGTGAGTACAAAAATATGTTTTGTGTGAATCTTGCAGGCTGCTAGGTATGCGTAGCTTGGACCAAATGGTAGTCAAGGAAGGATCATGGTCCTAGCATGGAAGTTTAACACAAATCACTTAACACTAAGGACTTTCATGAATTTTGTAGAATATTGTAACATTTTTTGTAATTCTCTCAAGTTGTAGCAAACCAATGTAAATATTAAAATGAAATTTGGCCTTTGATGATATTTGAATTTTTCTTGTTTATTGGTAAAATTTGCACTTCTTTTTACCTTTGATCACATTTTTTTGATATTATTGATGATTATTTGATATTAAATGTTTTTATTGTAATTAACTTTATTATGTTGAAAAGTGATAGAAAATAAAATAAAAATACTATAAATAAAAAAATATTAAAGTAAATAATAATTTAAATATAATAGTAAAATATTATAGTAAAATAATATTATATTTAAAATTATTTTACTAAATAATAATTTAAATAAAAATATTATTTGAAATTTATAAATCAGATTACGACGGTTAAAACCGCCGCAATTTCTAACCTACGGCGGTAGAATAACCGTCGCAAACAACAACAAAAACAAAAAATAAAGTCAAATTCACGACGGTATATAACCGTCGCTATCTGTTGTGCGTGACAGTTTTGCAACCGTCGCGAAATAGGCTGGGGACGCACGATTCTGCGACGGTACTTCTACCGTCGTAGATTGTAAATTGCGACGGTTTTAACCGTCGTAATCAGCCAAAATAATCGTCCCATGAATTGAAGGTTAATGTCCTCCTTTGTCTGAGCGTGTTGCTGGTTAGCTAGAGTCGCATCCTCAGGAAAGAAAGCACGATTTTTCATGGGATCCTCGACGCATGCAGATAGAGGGTCAGACATGGCATATTTATTCTCATGATATCTAACAGGGATGAGGAGCTGGGAATTATACGCCTCACGCCATTCTTTAGTCATGGGTTCAGAGAAGAACCTTGGCCCCTCAGTCGAAGCACGGGAAAAGTTTGTGGGGAAGATCTCTGGTTGATGCTGTACGTCAGCCACATTCTTAAGTTTGGGGTTGTTGGGAGCGTTAGAAAGGAAAGCCATTGTTATGAGATAGTAAGGAACGGAGATGACGGTGTAAGGTGTTTTCTGCAAAGAAGATTAAAAATGCTAAGTATTGTGAAAGTTCAAAAAGAGAAGGCTCAAGGCTATTTATAATGTTTAGAGGGAAGTGTGTCTCGTCAAAGCCATTTAATGCTATGGACGTAGCGGGGCACGTGGCAAGCTGCAAAGCAGTTATCGTGCAGGTGATGGGAAACGTTTGACATGCTTGCCAAGGTTCTAGGAGTAATGGTCATAATGGCAGCATGGTAACGGCTGATTGAAAAGACATCTTGGGAAAAGAGTAATGATGGTTCTGAGTGTGGCAGCTGTTGGAAGACGAAAAGTGCACGTTAAAACCTTTTTGGACAAAAAGGGCATGTGACGAATAGGAATGTCAAAGAATGACTATTTCTCTCGACATCGAAACAGGCATTCTTGGGGGGCAATTTGTTGGCTCTTGAAATCGACACCTACTATATATTGGCCCCATGGACCAAAAGTATAGCAGATAAAGCCAAGCTGGAAAATGCTTCGACGGATGGAAAAAACTTAGAGAAAATATCTGAGTTACAAATTGGTCTTCGATCAGACATCACCATCAAGCCTTCGACGGGAAAGGTCTTGTGGCCTTCGACTAGAAGAACAAACCTTTGTGTCAGCACCAAAGGCGAAGGATATTTGAATTTGAAGATTGGAGGGAAATGCAGTTCGCCAGCAGTTAAAAGAAAGCGGCGTGGCAGGAAGATAGAGGTCGAGGGACATGCAGAAGACACTTGTCTTAATCCTAGAAGCAAAGCCACCCTCGACAGTTACATAATTTAAGTATAAAACTAGGAAGTTTGTGTAGAGTTTCCGTGTGCTCAACCTATTGTGCTAGTTACTCAATATTATTCAAGTACCCGCTGTGTGTGAAAGAATAACTGAGAATGTACGTTGGAAACACCATTTTTTATTAATAAAGTCTTTTTACATTACTTTGATCTTCTTTTGCAAAGTTTACATTTCTACATCTTTACCTGCACTTCTAGTTACTTTCTTATTTTCCAAAACCATAAACACAATATCCTTGGTTGAACGTGCGTTCTTCCTAGATATTAACTTTCACATCAAACCAGCATAAAAATTAGCATATGTTCTGGGATCAATCTGATAGATCCCGCGAGTAACCAAAAGGACTTTCCTTTTTGGAGGATCAGCGGTTGTTTACCAAAAACCACGGTAAACAGCAACTCAAAGTTCAAAACACCAACTCCAGATTCAAGGTAAGTCTTCCTGACTTTAAACCTTTCATTTCAAGCATCATTGATAACTTTTTGTTTGTTTTAGTTTCTACCTTTTTGTTTGTTTTCCTTTATTGTCAAGAACTAACTTGTACAGACCATAAAACAATGTTGGAGTAAAAAATAACAGCATGGTTCGACACAAATCCTTAGGCTTCGAACACACTGCTTCACAGTCTCAAATGAAAGAAAAAAGGTTGTGTGAATCAAAGCCTTAGGCTTCGCCCCATACTGCTCCACAATCCCAAACGAAAGAAAAAATGTTGTGTGAATCGAAGCCTTAGGCTTCGCCCCATACTACTTCACAGTCCCAAATGAAAGAAAAAAAGGTTGTGTGAATCGAAGCCTTAGGCTTCTCCCCATACTACTTCACAGTCCCAAACGAAAGAAAAAAGTTTGTCTGAATCGAAGGACATATGCTTCGAATACTGCATGAATCAGAAGATTTTCTTTTTCTCTCTTTTGCGTTATTTTTCTTCTTTTCTATATGTTTTCTTTTATTTGCTATTCAAAATGGTTGTAATAATTAGGACTTTTATTGCTTTTTACCCCTCATTTGTAAATTTGTAAACCCCATCACCAAATGATGTAATAGCTTAGGATTTTAATTTCCGCAATTTACTATTTTAATATAAATTGTTAGTAATTATGGTATGTATGGCAATATAAAATCAACCGTTAAAAACCCTAATTTTAAAGACAAATATGCATGCAATCAAACACACTATTCACACACGTGAACCTCTAAGGTAACCTCGCTCTTTGCCTCGGAAAATAGTCATGTCCCTCGAATATGGGCGTTTTAGCAAAGACCCTCGATAAAAAGATCGTAGTGCCTCGATTTTGCCTTCGGTAAACGATCTAGTCCCTTACGAAAATTGCTAAAACACCTCGTAAGTAGCCTCCGATGACTTTACGATGACCCACGCCTGTCCCTTCACATCCGACGATGGGGCTTCTTACCAAATCAATGGTAAGGTAGCAACATCTAAAGGAAGAGGAAAGAACATAAACCTTTTGAGTAGGTAGGACGCTCGTAGTTACTTGCTCGCAAACGAAAACTATTTTCACAGTTACACTTTCAAAACATCTTCAAAAAACAAGCATCTCTTTGAACTATTTTCAAAACCAACACTTTGTATGCATTCTTATAGAGACGAGAATCATTACAAAGTTAGCCGCAACAAAAGCGTTTTCAAAATATTTTCAAACTTACACCCATCACAAAACACATTTCAAACAAAGCATTTTTCAAAGTGATCTAGCAAGCAATTAAGAATCCGTAGATAATTACGGATGAAAAGGGTGTTAACACCTTCTCTTTTCATAACCTACCTCTGACTCAAGAAAATATCTCAAAGGTTTTTCCTGTTCTTTTCACCTTTTCCTTATTAGATAAAAGAAAAATCGGTGGTGACTCTTACTATCCGTAACAATTACGATTAAACGCAGAACACTCAAGTCAGTTCTCCTACTGTATTACATACACCAAAATAAAAGAAGAAAGAAGAAGAGAGGAAATAAGGCCATGTAAGAATTGATTAGAGAAAGAAAGAAACGTTAGTTTGACTTTAAATATTTCAAGAATTAATATTACAACATAATGAGATATTATTCTATATCTACATAAAAAAAGATATCCGGTTACTAAATCAAATATATAATTGTAGAGATATTCCACTCAAAATTAAAATACATTATATTCTATATTTAAATTTGCACAGTTTATGTATTTTATTTATCAAACCAATCTATATATAAACAAAAATAAAATTTTCTTTTGAAAATTTCAGCTGATTTAAATATTTTAAAAATAATGAGATTTTGAAGTTATTTTCTTCCTAGTTTTGCGTATTCGGATTCGTAACAGACAGATGATCCGTTTCCATTTGTGTTTTGTACTTGATGAATCAAAACCTTTTCTTTTTCTTCCAAATAGCTTCTCAATCGGTAATTCTTAACTCTGCGAAGATCAAAAAGTGAATTACTCCAAAATCGCTTCTCAGAGTAACAACATATTGAAATCCAAAAATAGCTTTCTTGATTGATTTTTTCTTCTCTCAACAATTTCAATGGTGATTTTCCTTTTTCTTTTGACTAATTCACTGTTCTATTGTTTCTATTGTTAACTAAATTTCAATGGTAATGTGGTTTTAGTTTAGGGGATGAAACTTTTTTTCTTTCTTGCTTTGTTTTTATTTCAATGTTTTTTTATTTAGTTATTCTGGTGTTATAGATCTAGCATAGGATAGTTGCAAGGTCATTTTAGAAATTCAATGTCGTGATCTTACTTAGTGATTTTTAATTATAATTAATAATTCTTTGTTTCTGTAATTTAGGTTTATTTTAATGCTTTTGATCAAGAATATTGTTAACTGTTATCATGAAATGATCAGTAGAACATGTTAGTTTTTTTTTTACAGCTGGTACAAATGTTTACGTTCTGATTTTTAGCGAAAATTTTGGAGCTCAAAATGGGGGGAAAGTGGTATTAACTTTTAGTAATTGTGTTTTTGATCGAACACGCGTGACTCAAAAGTCGAGAGCCGAGCTTAATGAGCTACAGATTTTATGTGCAGACATGAATCATGATACATCTGTTATAGTTTTTGTAGAAGAATTTTCATATGTGGAGTTTCGCTTTTGATCTTACTGAGTTAGGAATTATTTCAGTAAAAATCTGTATACCCTGTTGCAGGAAAGTGTTTGTCTCAAGTGTGGCGATGTAGGTTTTATCGAGGCGATAGTTTTTTGCAACAAGTGCGAGGCTTGTGCTCTTCACAGGTACTTATTGTTCACGATTTCACTTGGTTTCGCTGCATTGTTTGATGCTTATAGCAAGTTTTTGTCATGGTATTTAGCTTCAGGTGTCAACACCTCAAATTTTGAGCTTTATAAAGTTGCAATTTCATGCTCTTTAAGTCCTTTTATTTCTTCCAGGTACTGTTTAGATGGACCTGTGATTTTTACTGATGAAGTTCTATGGTTTTGTGAGGATTGTGAACCAGAGCAAATATCTCAAAAAACTAAACCCGCAAGTTTGGCCAATAACGCACTCCAAACCCGAAGAAAACTGAAACATTGTGTAAAGAGACTGAAGGAAAGAAATCAACAGCACAAAAAGAAGATTAATGAGAAGCCGAAGAATGGAAAAGTTAACTCTGGCATGCATAATATTGGTCATGAACAAGAAACTGAAACAAAAAATGAGTGTGAACCAGTTCCATCAATTGCACCAAATACCAATGTTGTTCCTAAATCTATTCAAGTTACTTCCACGGATGACTTAATTCCATTAGAAGTTCATGTGGATGCACAGCCGATTGTTGAACCAATGTGGAGGTATCAATTTTGTTTTGCCTCCTACGTTTGAAAATCAGTGAACTTTTATAGCTTAATGGTGAATGTCATTGAAGTTGAATTTTTTGGTTGATAGGGGAAATTTGCTCTTCTGTGATAAAAGTAAAACTATCAGTACTGTCAACGGACTTCTGGCCCATTTGTCCAGTTTAGCATCCCCCAAAGTTCTGGAGGAGGCTGATCTTTTCCCAGAAGTGCTTTCCGCGGATTTGCTTCCCAGATCTTCCGTGTGGCCTAATAGCTTCAAAAAGGAAGGACCAACTGATAAGAGCATTGCTCTTTATTTCTTTCCAGTGAATGAAAGGTAATTTCTTAGACAAGTTTTAAATCACGTTAATGCGATCTTTTGTAAAATTGATATATCTATATAGTATTTCCACTACAGATCATCTATAAGCGCCTTTGATAAGCTGGTTGGTGATATCATTCGGACTGAAGAAGCCATAAGAGTTGTGACCGAAAATGCAGTGCTTTTGATTTTTCCTTCCACCTTGCTTCCAATCCAACATCAGAGTGAGTTTCATCTATTCTAACTCTTCAGTTGAACATTTCTGTCAAATTGTTTATTAATCTTAAGATTACATTTTAATTTGAGTTATCATTTGGACAGGATTTCAATCCAAGCATTACTTGTGGGGTGTCTTCAAGAAAAAGCAACCTTCACTCGAGACAAATGATGCTGTGTGCTGATAGAATGCTCATGTCACGAAACTCTTAACTCGGTCTAACCATAGTCAGTTTTATATTCTTGAGAAATAATAGTAGCTGTAGTTATAATGCATAGATTGTACTCCTGTAGTAGTTATATGATATTTGCATGATGAGATGATGAAATGACATGTGCATGATGTGATGGTGTTACTTAGTTGCATAATTGGTCATTATTTAGGTAAGGATTATCATTCTTAACTAATCCTTAGTTAATTTCGTGTGTTACGGTGAATCATATGCGCATGAGAATTATCATTTTTACTGCTATTGTAGATTCTCTGCTCGCTTGTGCAATTCAACCTTCTGCTAATTCTAAACTGTAAAAATAAATAAATGTTACAAGCATAGTCTGTTATGTGATCATTTGTGTGTGCTTGAACATACAATAAGATAAATATTTAAGCTACATGGTTACTCTCATGGCTACAAGAAGGGAATACCATCTCAAAATGTAAGTGATTCATGTCACTGATCAATGTATAAATCGTCGGCAGTATCAGCAGTTGGTAGCTTATACTTGAGTTCGAATGGCTCGAACCTTATCAGACCAATATTATTGTTATCAGTTGTTCTGTTCAATCTTTTAAATCTAATTCTTTGTTCAGGACTGGGTCCTTGATTCGAGGGCAACCTTGCATAAATTATTCCTTTATATTTTTTAATTTAAAATAATCACTTTTCACAAAAATGATACTCTTCCTAACAATATGGAAGTTTTAGTTTCTGCAATAGGCACAATATTTGTAGGTCCGAATCTGATTATTGAAAATGTCATTTGCATTCCAGATTTTCACTTTAATCTAATTTTAGTCATTTCCATGATACTTAACTTGAATCTTTAAGAGTGTTAGTGCCGGAGACACTTTTATTGAGGAGAGAAAGAGGAAATAATAAGGAAATAATGATTATATTATTTACTTGAATTGTATAAATAATGATACAAACTATGACTATTTAAATACAAATCTAATTGGGCTTGGATTTACCAACTTGAATTATATTTGATATTATATATAATATCTCAACATATCTAACTCGAGTTATATTTGATACTATATTTAATATTTCAACATACCCTCTATAATCCAAGTTGTCGAACTTACGCTAATCATAGTCAATCTGAATTATTTCTAATTTCTTTCTCAAATTCAAGAATCTGTCGATCTTCAATTCTTTGGTGAAAATGTCGGTCAACTGTGTTTCACTTGAGTAATGTCTAACTTCAAGTTCACCTCGATTTACCTTTTCCTTCAAGAAGTGAAATCTAGCTTCAATATGCTTACTTCTTGCGTGCAAAACTAGATTCTTTGCCAGATTTATGACTGACTTGTTGTCGATTTGCAATACAAGAGGTTTTTTCACTTCAACCTCCATTTCTTCAAGTACAAATCTGATCCAAATTGCTTGACATGCATCATTATATCCTGCTATATATTCAGCTTCACACGATGATAATGCCACCACAAGTTGCTCTTTCGAACACCATGAGATTGAGACAACGAATACTTGAAAGAAATATTCAATTGTGCTTCTTCGATCTTTCTTATCTCCACACCGATCAACATTTGAAAAATAATTAACTATAGCTTCTTTGCTTTCAGAGTCTTGTCGAAATAGTATTCCACAATTTATGGATCCTTTTAAGTATCTTAGGATTCTTCTTGCAGCCTTCATGTGTACACCATTGGTTCACTCATGTATCTTCTCACTAATCCGACTGTAAAATCTATATCAAGTCGACTGTTGCACACATACCTTAGAGATACCACAATTTTCTTGAACAAAGTTACTTCAACTTTGTCTTCCTCTCCATTCTTCTCCAACTTCACATTTGGTTCGACAGGTGAGGATGCAGGATTCAAATCATCAATTATGAATCTCTTGAGTATCTCTTTGACATACTTCCTTTGATGTAGCATCATACCTTGCTTCGACATTTGAAATTCCATGTCGAGGAAATAAGACACTTTTCTCAGATCTGACATATCAAATTCCTTCATCATCAACTCTTTGAACTTCGACAAGTTCGCCAAGCTATTTTCAGTTACTAGCAAGTCATTGATATATAAGTAGATGATTATTATATCTTGTGCTACAACTTGAACATAGACACATACTCTGATTTGCATTTGACAATTTTCAATTCGACTAAGTATGAGTCGATCTTCTTGTTCCATGTCCTAGGTGCCTGCTTGAGGCCATAGAGCGCTTTGTGCAACTTATATACTTTACTCGCTTCCTTTTGAATCACAAACCCCGATTGTGTGATATAGAACTCTTCGTCTAAATGACCATTCAAAAATGCTGATTTCACATCTAAATGAAATATCGACCAACCTTGGTTGCATGCCAAGGCTACCACTTGTCGAACAGTCTCCAATCTTGCTACTAGAGCAAATGCTTAAGAGTAGTCGAGTCCTGCTTTTAGAAGAAAACCTCGATCTACTAATCTTGCTTTACGTCTTGTTATCGACCCATCAACATTGTGTTTCAACTTGAACACCCACTTTACTTCGATAGCTTTTGTATATGCTGGAAATCCGACTAACTCTCATGTGTTGTTTATTTCGATTGTCTATAACTCTTCGACCAAAGCAGACTTCCACTATTTAATCTTTAAAGTCTCACTATAGTTGATTGGTTCAACACCTACAAGTAAAACAAAATTAACTAATTCTCCATATGGTGTGACTTCATCATCACCAACCACTTCATAATCATGAATTCTTGCTGGAAGAACTCTAGTTCTTTGAGGTCTTTGGCTTGTACCAGCCACACCCTCTTCGACTTTGATATTGTTGAGAATATCAACAACTACTTAGACATCGACTTTGACTGAAATATCTGCAATTGAAGAATGGAAAAACACAAGAAGGGGGGAGGGGGGTTGAGTTGGGGTTTTTAAAACTTAAAACAAAATACACGTTGGTTATCCTAGTTCGTTTAAACTCAAACTACTCCAGGCCACCCGCAAAGGTGATTTCTCCTCTCTCAATGAGGTCTTAATCCACTAATCAAACTTGATTACACAGGTACAATGACAAATGTCAAAGTCTTCTTGAGTTTAAATCACAACCCGATTTTCTCAAGGTATTATACAGTACTATATTTGAAAGCGTGTACAAGATATATTTTCTAATAAAAAACAGTATCACAAAAGTGATGTATTACACAAATGAAAATCAATATATTGAAGGTAGTGATATTTCTCGTTTGTAGTGCGTAGCGAAAATCGTCAACGATTTCTTCTTCACATCTTGTTTATATAGGCAATGCATGAGAGGTGCTTTTGGAATGTTGATAAATAGTAGTTAATGAACTTTTCAAACATAAATATTCTTGTCCTCTTTCAGCCGTTACTTTTAAATAGCCATGAATGAAATTTACCACTTCAAAACATGCTTGCTAAGGATTACATCAGAAGATGAATTTTACTGTTGGGACTCCTTTACTTCTTTCCAGAACTGTACGTAATAGAATAACGGAGTTCTTGTTCACAGCGTTTAGTGCATTCAGAAGTTGTAGCTTCAAAACTTCTTTATATAAGCGTGATACACAGATTTTCTTTCTACGTAAGATGTGTTGAATCAGAGTTTAAACAACAAACTAACTCATTTTCTATGCTTCTTTCATCAGAACTTTCCTGCAAAACAAAATACTTATTTAGGGAGTATAATTGTTCTTTGAGTGTTTGTTATCATCAAAATTCTTACAAGGATTTTAGAATCATATTATGTTCTAACAATCTCTCCCTTTTCGATGATGATAAAACTTGGATATTTTAATCAAATACGTAAAGAACATAAAGCATTAAAGTCTCCCCCTAAGTTGAATACTCAGATAAAGAAAAATACTTCCCTGAAAATATTCTGATAAGAGTTTTGAGAAGACTATTTTTGATGCTCCCACAACTGTCCTCAACAAAGGTTTTTCTTGTTTTGCTTTCAAAAGATAAAATGTTAAAGTTATGATATTCAAAATGTTTGAGACTGAGTCTCGATACTGTTATATTTGAAATATCTTATGTTCTCCCCCTTTTTTTGTCAAGAATCAAAAAGCAATAAAAACACTTTAGACAGTAAAATGCATTTTGTATTTCAAAGAGATTCAAGGACATAAAAAAACATAATAAGAAAAAACAAATTTCAGAACTAAGTTTGAGGAGGTGGAAGTCGTGTGAATAGAGCTTTCAATAAACTCTTAATCTGATTGCTCGATTTCTCTTATTTCCCAAGCATCCCCTTAATTTCCTTGCAAGTTTGATCCTTCTTGTTTAGCCTTTCCTTAAACACAACATTTTATTTCTTCAACTCCTCCAGAGTTTGCAGCACAATAGAATAAGAGGGTATTTCAGCAGAAGAAACCACTTTTTTAGAGCACACTGCAACTGATTCTAACACATGAGCTTCTTCAACTTTCTTGCCTTTGTCCTGAAACATGACAAGAGGAAGAGGATCGGAGAGTGGTTCATCACACTCTGATGTCTGATGAGCTTCCTAAGGGGTATTGTCCAGCAGAAGGAGTGGCTTCTTCTCCCAGTGTCGCAGAACTTGATCCTTGAAGATATTCAGGCGATCACAGAAGTTCTGTTGAGAGATTTCATAACTAAGCTCCTTTAGTTTCAGAGATTCAAAGTTGAACAATTTTCTGAATTGGTTCCAATGAGAATCAAAAGCAGCTGGATTGAGATTCTCTATGCAAGTTAGCTTTAGAGAGTTAACCCATTCATGTATTTCTATTTCAAAAATCAGCAGAGATTTACCAACATCTGCTTTGAAGATTTTTGGTTTTGGTTTTGGAACGATAATTTTATGAGAGCTTGTGACAAGATTGTCCAAAGCTTCTAAGTCTATAAATGTTCTAAGGGGATCCTCTGGGTATTTATTTGGAGAGGGAGAGTCAGAAAGGATAATGGGTGAAGTTGGTGAGTTTGGTGGAGTGGACTGATAAGGAGATGGAAGATCTGGAATGGAGAGGTT